GAGAGCGTGGAGTCCGGGAACACCGATGACCAAGCCATGTTAACGAAAGCCCTATCTAGCCGGACTAGAGTAGGGTTGTCTTGTTGATTAGACCACCTGTAGAGACGGTCTAGGAGCGGGATTTCTTGGAGCTGCATGGAGTTAATGGCCGAAGCAAATAGCCTAGCTTCGTTAGAGTTAAAGTGGTTGGAAGATTTGTCTCTTGGGCGAAGAATAAGGTTGAAATCCCCGAATACCAGCCAGGGGCAAGTAATCGTAGACGACGCAAGGATTAGGGAGTCCAAGAATTCTTGTTTAAGGGAAAGATCGCACGGCCCATATACGTTGGTAATAGCGAAGGAAACGTCAGTTTCCCGGAAGGAGAACCAACACGTGATGAAGAACCGGTCTAGATGAACGTTAGTGCACTCTAGATTAGCGTCGTCCCAAGCGATTAGCAGCCCCCCGGATGCCCCAACCGACGGGAGGTAATGGAAGTTTCTAAGGCCGATCGGCAGAAAAGAGACAGCCTTAAAAGGTGGAATATCTTGCAGCTTAGTTTCTTGAAGGCAAAGGATCGAACCTTGGGCAGATTGTAAGGCTTTTTTTACATCAACACATTTGTTCGGGCGTCCAAGACCCCGAACATTCCATGAGGCGATGTTAAGGCTTTTAGTCATTGGATAACAGATTAGGCGACGAGGGACAGATATAATAGCAATAGTGGTAGATAACGATGCCCGTGCGGGGCCAGGTTACAGCGGATAGCAGAAACGAACTAGGGTCGAAGCTATCTAGGGAGAACCCTAGAACTACAGAAAGAGATACCCCGATGACAGCACTAGCACAGCTGCGAGATACGAATACATAGGGGGGGAGAGACAAGGCGGCATGCTACAACGGTAAAAGACAAAGTTGCTACAACTAAAATTGCCCAGGGAGTTGCAGCCGCAGGGAATGAAAGACCGGTAGCAGCGCCGTTGCCGACCGAAGAAGATGAGGCTGTCACACATCGGAGAACTCGGGTGCCACCTTGTTCAGGTTGATCTCGGAGACCCCGCAAGCTTCCGCCAGCTCCAGCACGTCCGGGCGAGGCAGAGGGGACAGCTCCTTCGCCGCCAGCTCCATGAGTTCGGCCGCCGGCAGGAGCCCAGGGGAAGAAACTTTCTGCCTGAGCCCCTCCAGCTTGGACTTCTTGAGCAGCGTGGCCTTCTCGAGCATTGACATGCGCGTGGGTTCTTCCCTCTCCTTGAGACGAGCGCTACGGCGAGTGAAGACGATGGAAGTTTTGCCCTTGGGAGGCAGCACCGGGACGAAGGTGGGGGAAGAAGGCGGCGGCGTAGTAGGCAAGGCCGGCGGGGCCTCGAGCAGCAGAGGCGCTGGAGGGGGGGCTAGGGGGGCGCCCGAGTCAAAGCGCTCGAGGGCTTCCATGACCTGGGCCTCCCCGGAGACGATGTTGCCGAAACTGCGCCCGCGCCAGTCCATGCAGAAGATGTCGGCGTCGGTGATGGGCTTGCGCCTCTCCCCCACCGTGCCAACCTTGTTTAGGTATCCAATGGAGCAGGAAGCAAGATTGGCAACGATGAGGCGCGGGGAGCCTGCTGGGCGCATGGGGATGTGGTAGAAGCACCTCTCGCCGTTCCTGCCGGTGATGCGGATGTCGTAGAAGCCGGCGAACAGCTTGACGTCGACAGCGGCCGGACGAGCGTCGAGGGGGACCGCCACCACCATTGGCTTGTGGTTGGCCATCATGGTCTGGCCCCTGGGTAGAACCACCACGCGGTCGCGGTAGAGCGCATCCGAGGGCGGTGGAGGGGGCGGAGCCATGGCCGCATCCATATCAGCAGGTAAGTCTCCATCTCCACCGTCACCCCCATCATCGCCTCCATCGCCTCCCCCATAACTGGTGTCGGAGTCAGAGTCAACAGGGAAGGCGGGGTTCGGTGGCAGCTCCTCCGAGCGTACCACCAGGACCGTAGCGATCGCATCGAGGCCCGAGAAGCCGTGGATGGGGATGGAGTGAGGGACATCGGTGAGGGTCCTGCTCTTGACAGAGACGAGGACGGCCGAGTAGTCAACGCCGGTGAGGCAGATAGGATCTATCTGGATGGGACAAGCAAAGGGGACCACGGAATTGGTGATAGTGTCGGTGAACCAGTACTCGATGGGAAAGTCTTCGATGTTTAAGGCGGAAACCGTGCCCAGGCGAAAAAGGAACCTGTTGTCAGTGTCCTCGTGGCGGACCAGCTGGACAGAGTTAACTGGGCAGTTGAAAGGGCTGGAAAGGCAGGAGATTTCTCGTTCATAGGCCGAGCCAAAGATGACGAGGCCCGCTCCATGAGAAGAAGCCCTAATGGCCACCTGGGGGTCCCCCGCCCCGGATTGGAGAGCTCTGCGGATGGAGGCGTGGGGAGATGGGCACGGTGGGTTGACAAAGGCAAAGGCAAGGTTCTGGAAGTGCTCAAGAGGAACATGTGGCATGAAGACATTGGAGTAGTCTCGGCAATGTCGCGGAGGAGAAGGAGGGAACATGGGTGGGATTGCATCCGAATCAGTAGATTCCTCCCCTGATTCGAATTCAATCTCCTCCGGATCCTCTTCCTCCTCGTCATCTTCGGCGGCATCAACTTGCTCAGGGAAGGCGAAAACGCGTGGTGGTGGGGAGGCCATGCGGGGGGGAGAAGGAAGCTCGCCATCCTCGGAGGAGGAGGAGATCTCGAAGGGCACCGGGATGAAGTCAGCCATTGGGGCTGCGATGGAAGAGGAGGATCTACCGGGAGGCGGAGCAGGAGGAGAGCTAGGCTCGGAGGGTGTTTGAGGGATGTGAGAAGGGGTGGATGAGGAGCCGAGGCTTGGGGGTGGTAAAATAGCCACGCAATGGCGCTGGGCATGCCCCACCTGCCAGCATCTCCGGCATCGAAACGGGTCTCGGCACTCCTGCACGAAGTGATCACGCGCAAGGCAGCGATGGCAGCGCATGCTGAAATCAGGGTTTCTGGGGATGGAGAGATGGAATGATTTCAGCCGAGGAGGGGTATGCATGCTATAGGAGGGGGAGGAGAGGACACGGGCGTAGGATTCTTTGCCGCCACCAATGGGTGTGGAGCGCACGGGGTTTGAGGAATTGGCAGCCGGCAGAGGCGAGGAAAAGGTTTCGGGAGGGACGTAGTCACATCCCGTGAACAGAGCCCTAGTTGGCGTTTGTGGGTTGGGCTGGCAGGGTGGCATGCATGCCAGATACGACAGCCAGGGAAGAGGGCCTTCAGGCCTTGGCAGTATTCCAGGCGCCAGCAGATCGATCGGGATCACCCTGCGCGAGCGAATGGGCTTGGGAGCGAGGCGGGATGTGGTTGGCTGCATGCTGATCTCCATGCAGCGGCCTACGTCCTGGGAGCGATCGTAAGTAGGCCATGGCAGCGGGCCCAGGGGAGTGGGCAAGATTCCACATGCAAGGACGTCCAAAATGACAGAACGCATGGCAGGTTTCACTGGGCGGGTCGGGCACGCGGTACGGGACTGCACAGGAACTAATTGACTATAGACGAGGTGACCATCACGGGGGGGACTAGTACGAGCATGGGGAGCAGCAGCCAGTATGTCAACTTGCTCCTGTTGAGGGGAGGCCGAGGGAAGTGGATCAGACGGCAAGCCCGAGGAACTGGCGAGACGGTCAACATCGGCAGCGCGCGTGGAGCGTTGGTCAGAGCGCGTTGCATCAGCGAGGGTCAAAGGAGGTGAGGGAAGGGAAGAGCTAGGCGGGAAGGAGGGCGCAGCCGGCAATTCAAACTCAGCCACGAAAAGCCTCGGAGGAGCGTAGGCACGTGCCGGAGGATCGACGTGGAATGAGACGACAGTACCCTGATAATTGATACCCTCCAAAGAGACAATGAACTGGGCAATACGCTTACTAGCAACCGAAACCGAGAATAAGCAAGCACTAAACTGACGACAAACAGGGGTTTCGAAAGCAGAGCCTAACCAAGACTTAAGCAGGGCGGCAATGGAGGAGGCGGCGGGCGGTGGCGACGGCAGCAACACTTGGACCCATACCAAATCCGGAGATGTCGAGGCCGGCGCCGGAGTGAGAGGGAAACATACCGGCGAGGAGAACTGAGTCAGCGAGTAGTGAAGAAGGGCATCGCCCGGCGTCCGAAGAAGCGGAGGCGAAGTCCCAGCCAGCCGACGACGCAGCATGGACGGAGTGGAGGCGGCGAGGAAGCCCGGCCGGAAGGGCGACGCCAAGAGCAGCTCCTCCTTCGACGCGAAGGAGATGGAGGGAGGGAGCCAAACTCCGGCAGCGTCCGTCCCTCCAAGAGAAGCATCACGCGGCCCGAGGACGCCCGAGGCAGCGAAACCCCCCGGCGCTCGCGCAAGGGCAGCTCGCAGGCCGATCTCCATGGAGGCAGCGGCGTCTAGGGGAGACCGAGGAGGTGGCCGCCGCGGCCGGAGTGGCCGGCGGCGCATGCGAGACGTGGATCGCCTACCTAGACGCTCGCGGGAGTGACAGTATCACCTTCAGGCACTGGTGGAAGTGGAACTCATAAAAATTACTCCCTCTGTAAATATAAGACCTTTTTTGACACTGATACACTGATAGATCAGTGTCAAAAAAGGTCTTATATTTTGATACAGAGGGAGTACTCGCCAAAAGTGACAGATGCTATAATTTGATGTTATAACTGACTTGTCTCAAATTACGCAAATTCTATGTTGGCACAAACTAGAGCTGACTAACAATAGCAAAGCGCTGAGACTAATTGGATCAAACTGAGGGTCATTCTTCACTCAGATGAACAATGATGACAGAAATAAATGTGTCCAATATTTTCTCGAGTGGTATCATATCAAATATCAACATTTGGATGGAGACGCAAGTTACATTTGATATTTCTAAAAGGAATAGAACATTAGGCTTCCTTCTGCTACAACATCAAAAAGAAACTGAAGATTCTACCATGAAGCCATACGATTCAAATGTTCACCAAAACCAAGCAGGATACTGCGGAAACAGCCATAGGGATTTAATGAGTCTCATCGGGTACTGCTGCTTCACCGTCTCTTACCAAACCAGCATCACCATTGCTAATCAAGATGAACCAAGATAACTATATCAGTCAATTCGTATGAGCATGACATTATAACCAGCAAGATTGCAACAAAACATCACAGTAGGTTGAAGATAGGAGACCTCACCTTGACTGACCAGAGCCTTGCAGGGAGGGTGAGTCAACTTGCATTGTTACAGGGCCATCATTTACCAATGAAACCTGCAAAAGTTCTCAATTGACATGCATTCTGGAAAGTGTAATGTGAGACAAGTCAGTTATAGCATCTGTTACTGGGGGGCACCTTCATCATTGCTCCAAAAATGCCATCTGCCAAGAAGAGTTGAAGTAGGGACAATTGTTAGGAATAGTCCTTCAAATGTGCAGGAATAGTTATCGCAAAAAAAAGAGTACAGGAACAGATAGCAAAAACACAAATAGCAGCCTCGATACTGTATTATGTGAAAATCATATAATCCATAAACTGACATACTCATGGCAAGGTATCAGGGGGTTACAAATCTGAACAAGCAGAAAGTACTCTTAACTTACTAATATAACAGAATATGCCGTAAATTGAGTTTTACTTTATAATGGAACAGTCGGACAGTCCGTGCAGGAACAATGGGAAATATGAAAAAGCATCCATACATCGGTTACCATGCGAAAACCTCAATAGGAATACAGGTGAACTATGTAAACAAGATCAACTTGATAATGAAGCACTCAAGATGGCCAACTTCGTAAATGTATTATGCAATATTAGAAGCATGAACATATTACCTTTAACTGAATCAGTTTTGTACGACTTTTGAAACTTCTCAACCAAAGAAGCGTAAAAAGGTTTTGCTTTCGCAGGCGGCATAGCCACATGGAAATCTGGCTTGCTACCCTTCAGGATTCCATATAAGGTAAATTGGCTCACTGAATAGGATAACAGCTTAGAAAAAGAATAAATAACAACATATCAACTGTTAAAGCTTACGCCATTGCAGACACAGAAGTAGAGAGAGCAAGTTGCATTGTATTACCTAACAGGACTTCAAAGTTCCGCTGCATAACCTGAAGAAAGTGAGACGTAAAATAATGTTCAGGGGGTAATCAACATGCTGAATGCTCTCCTAAGCAGAATTGCTTATAGATGACTCTGAGGCTTACACTCTGATCCCATGCTTTTCCAGTCTTCTCATTAGTAAACAGCCTCATATTCAGGACCTTCCGACAGCTACGGAAATAGAGTGTTAGCATGAAACAGACACCATCACAGCGAGATATATTTACTGGACATTTCAGTATAAACAAATTCTCTGTTGTCAGAAAAGCAACGGTGACAAGCAAGTCATTGGTACATGAATTGCACATAAGTTAAGCAAAACTTTCCAAATTACAGTCTCACAACAGAATCCTTCAAGCACCAGAATACAGCACCAAGTCTAGTTACTAACACTGTTTATTGATACGCTAACGATTGTCATCTTAATCACTCAATCCACCAAAAGGAGTAATCAATTACACATCATTCACGGAGATTCCGGTGGAAAACCTCCCTGGGAGAGGGAGAGGGTGCCGAGGATTAGGAGGGAAAGGTCAGAGGTGGGTTCATTACATGTAGTCGGCGTCGGAGCTGGTGTCAGCCTCGTGAACGCCGACGAGGACGAGGAGGCCCGGGCCGATCGCCGAAACCACTTGCCCTTCCACCTGCGACCCCCGCAAAGACCAATCAGCGCCCATCTCTCCCAATGATTCCGTGCAGGATGCAGCGGATGTGGCGAATTGAAGAGGAAGCGATCACCTCGACGCTGGCCGAGAGGACGCGCTGCACCACGGCCCTCATCCCCTTCCTTCTGGCCTCCGCCGCGGCGTAGCTCCGAGCTTCCTGCTAGTGGGCGAGTCGCCGGAGACGGCAGTCGGCGACTGTGGTGGGCGGGTGGGCGGAGTGAGCAGCGGAGGCCTCAGCGAGGGTCGACGGGCTGTAAAAATGCCCATGATTTATTGGGTCTAACAGGCCGGGCTTTGCCAGGATTTGCACTCTTGACATTTTTTTTCCTGTTAGAGCTTGACTTTTTTTGCCACTTGTTAGAGCTTGACTTAAAAATATTGAAAAATAGTGTTTTGACAACATGTAAAAGATACAGTATCATCACCAAATTTATCTCACTGCCATGAAATTTACGTGGAAAATAACACTAATTCCATAACATACATGAGTGTGGGTATATATACGTACAGATTGTTTGGTAATCTTACATCTTTACACCTGTTTTGTCCAAGAAATGCATCTTACAACATGCTCGCTCACCTAGCCTACGAGTGCAGCGGCGCACAGCACACTGCTGTTCGCCACATTCTACAACCACCTCTAAATCTTTATTCTTCACCATATGAACAACAAGCACATACTAGAAATCTTTACCAGTTGCTGATCTTGTATCTACTCTGATCTATGAAGTCCGAGTAGTAGTGTTTTCTGCTTCCACGGCCACATCCTGCACATTGCCATCTTCCGTTGTCGGATGGACATCCATCGGCTTACCCTCTATTGTAACAGGCCCTTCGTTCACCACCACCTCACGTCCATAAGCATCGGCCTGCTCAGGGACATCGTCCCGTCTCTTCATGGAGATCTTCCTGCTCAGTGTGCTTGTCAGTGATCTGCCCGGCTCCCCTGCGTTCTTCTCCACCACCTTCGCCATATCTTCTGTCAAACTTCCCGCGTCTCCTCCTTTGTTTGCATCGTCGCTGACCACAATCTTTATCGATGTCCGCTTCTCGCCAAGCTCCTTCAGGTTGGGACGTGGGGTTCGGGGGAGCTTCGGATCAAGATCCGGCGAACCTTGACGCGGGGTCCGCGGGAGGTTCGGATCAAGCTCTGGTGCACTCTGAGGACCAGGACTTGTGGGGATGCTAGGATCAATGAGATCGCGAGAGCTCCCCTTCTTCGAGTTCCTCCGGAAAAATGAGCCCATATTGAACATACCACCACGACCACTCTTTGGGGTAGGAGTAGGAGGGGCTTCCTTTGATATGTCAACCTCTTGGAGGATCTCCGTGTCTGGATTGCGTGCCCGTCCTTTCCTGGATTCCCATGTCTGGGGAACACCAGTTCCAGGGCGATGTACATATACACCTCCAGGTTGCTCTTGTCCATCAAAGTCAATGTGCTCAACTTCATCCATTATGACTTTCCTTTCTTGAAGCAGCTTAGCAGCATCCGACTTGCTATCAGCAGAGGTGGGCAGTGGCAGTTTCGCATCAGTTTTCGCCGGTGATTCTTCCAAACTCGTTGTTGCCTCCGTCTCCTTCAAAAATATTCGGGATAGAGTTATCCTACAATAATCATGTCCTCATGAAGAGACGGTAATCTAGTTTTACCATTCATTGAGGTGCTACCTTGCTACCATCGTCAGATGACCACCAAAAAGGTCTTAAAAAACTATGGCCAAAAAGTTAAGAATGTTATCACCAACCTCTGATACATCTTCAATCGTTATAGCCAGGTGGATCCTTCCTTTCTTGACATTCTTCAGCGATATCCATTTGTCATGTCTTTGTCCACCTCTCAGTTCATTTACGTCTACGGTACATTCTCTGTAAACAAATTGGAATTCATCATGTATTTATTTTTCTTTCAGTGAAGGACCAAATATATCTGTTCAGTAAGAAACAGCACACAAGGGCCAATTTTCAAGCCGAGATAAAACAAATGCCAGAACTCATCTTTTAGGGACCACAGCAGAATCACAACACTGCTCATTGCAAAAAAAAATCGAGAAAACGCAAGAAGCTTTGCATAGCAATGCATTGATAGAAGAAAAGGTTATGTACATGTTCATTGCAAATATAGTTCTACAGAAAATTAAGGATCGAGTGTCCAAAGATTGGCATTTAAAGATTTGCTAATTGCTCCTCCATGTCTCAAATACAAGACAATACATATGTTATCCTATGGATCTCCTGGTTAGAGTTTCATATAGCAAGATGAGTTCAGAAAAAAGAACATACCCAAGCGAGTCATCAAACATGTGGTCCTTATCGCGAACTTCCATAACAAGTTCATTTGATGCTTCCCACGACGTGATGGGTATCTTGAATTCCTCAAACCATTTAGGAGATAATGTTTTCCTCTGTATTTGAGTTTGGAATTTAAAAAGACCAATACGACCTCTGACATAAGGGTCCGACAGCCCTATAAAACAGAACATTAAATGTTTGAAACAAAGGATGAATAATGCAAACATTTCGACAGAGGCAGCCACAGCCGCATGTAATTCTCACCGTTTATATCAGCTGGTTTCATGTCAAGCCCTTCCAAAATCTCAAGTTTCACATATGCAACAGGAGGTCTCTCCTCAATGTTGAACCAGTTATTTTCTGCAGAATATTAGATATTAATGGAAAGCAAGTAGATAACATAGCAGAAAAGGGTTAGAAGATTTATCATACAAAAAGTATTAAAATGAGAAGTATCATTCTTCCAAAAAGTAGGACAAAGTACAGATGTTATTTAACTTTAAGCATGATCATATTAGTTTTACTTGTGCCAGCACACTCAACTAAATAAACGAGTGAAAAAATGTTGGTTCATATTAGCCTGGCGCAGTGGTGGAGTCTCTCCACTTGTGGCCTGGAGGTCCTGGGTTAGAACCAGCCTCCTTGCAGAAATTCCCTTCCCCAGACCCCACCTTGTGTGGGAGCTTTCAGCACTGGGTACGCCCTTTATTGACTCTACACCCTATCTGAACTACTTGATACTACTAGTATTTAGTGAAGTAATATTTCTGAAACTGTAATATTTAGACCAGCAGGAAGAAAGGATGATTTCTGAAACACAAGCATGACACGGAAGGTTACTTCTTACCAGAAGGAGTAGATGAGAACTTTTCCATGTTGATGACAAGCATATTGGGCTGGAAAAAGAAAAGATGCATCAGCAGTTAAAATATCATAATTAAAGGTAAGGTCGGTATTTCTGAATGGGGGCAGAGTGATCTAACCTCAACTAATGTCTGCCCAAATGCAGTATCCATCAACTTATCCTGGACAAAGAAATACAGGAGACCAAGTGAGCACTAAGAAACATATTCAACAATGTCACCAAAAGGTCTAGAAAAAGGAAAAATATGACATGTGGGGCGGTTACCAGCCATCCTGAAATTCCTGGAAACTCGGTAACATCAAGTCCGTGGCCAACGAGTGGTTTTACCGTCATTTGAAAATAAGGAGGCTCCACAAAGCATAGTCTTAGACGGCCAAGAAATGGCCAACTCCGAACAAACTTCACACCAAGTAAAACCTGCAGTGAACATATTTTTGTACCGAGAATAAGGTAAGGATAAGGGGAACAAACTGACTGGTGACTCTAATGAATGATAATTTACTGAAATTCAGATTGAAACCTTTCCTTCTCTTCTGTTTACTCCAGAAGGATTTTGCATATCTTTTACAACTACATCAGTACACTTTTAAAAGTTGAGGATCTCTTCTTTTTTTTTCCCTTCTTTTAAGAAGATACATGTAGGCCACTGCTGGCTCCAAAGTTGTCGTTGGCTTCATTAGGATTATATCAGTACTAGCAATCTACCTACAGATGCAAGAATAATATTTGTTTCCATTCACTCTACAGGGCAGCCACTGAGCAAGCTAGCCTCCACCATGGTGAGAAATGGCCATTCCATTCCTCCACTGAGCAAAGTAAATCTAGGTGTTGTGTCTATGTTGAGTAAGGAAAAACAGGCAGCCTTAACCAATTTTGAGCAAGAGGTATAATAAAAAATAATGTGTTATTTTTAAGGAGCAAAAGAATTCTGCTATACATGTGTATTTGCTTAGTCTTGTAAATTTTCTCCATATAATATCCAAAGAACCAAGTTGCCAATCACTTGATTAGTGATAGAATGATGGTGCTAACTAGGTGACTTGCCTTTCCTTCGACATGCATCCTAGTCAAATGCATGTTTGCGGTCATTCCAAGTCCCACACTCTTATGCAGCTGCATGGCAAGTACAACACTCATATCTTCAGCAGATAGGAAGTTCATCCCTAGCTCCAAAACCTGGGTCAATCGATCGGATGGGCATACAGATCATTACAAATGTACATCCCACAGAAGGGAAAGGAAAGAATCAGATCAAAAGGAAGTAACGCCCACCAAATGGTCATCATCTGACGTCTCAGGCAGAACTCTCATCGAGGTAAATATTGGTGAATCCCTACCCATGTAAAGCTCCTGGACACTTGCTTTACTCTGCACAAAAACTACATGAATTGAGCCATACTCACTTAAGGTGACTTCAAAAAACAAGGTTGAACTAGCAGTTTTAAGTTAAAAGCCATGCAATAGAACATCATCATGAATGTAAGACATTAGTGGAAAGGACGTAGATAAAATAGCAGGAAGATATAAAACATACAACTATCCAAGGTTTGAACTTATCCAAGAACCACGGTATGATGGGCCGTAAAAGTTGTGAAACAATCTTCTCCATACAGATAGGCCACATCTTTTTGACTGCATGATTTAACCAACGTACTGATTCTCCATCAGAAAGCAGCTGATAGAGAAAACAAAATGAGTTTAGTCTGGCCACAGATCACAACAAAGTTAAAAGCAAGAAAGGGTACGCTAGCCTAGTCAACCAAGTTCATCCTTGTAATCATTGACACAAACATTGATTTTGGATTGCAGAAAAGGTGCATACTCTTCGTTGGTAGGCAGATTTCATTTCCGCATGTTGTATTCGCTTCCGCAGTCTCATTGCGCAGCGGGCATTTACCTACAATAAAAACAAGCATAGTTTAAATTTTAGTTCTGGAACCAAACAGCCAAAGTTATGT